CTGCCACTGCTGGACGAGCCGCTGCCACTGCTAGACGAGCCGCTGCCGCTACTAGACGGACCGCTGCCACTGCTGGACGAGCCGCTGCCACTGCTGGACGGACCGCTGCCCGAGTCGGAGGTCGGAGGAAGGGCGGTGCACCCGTCGGGGCCTGGGGCATCGCAAGTAAGACAGCTCTCATGGCACGCCTCGCAGATGGCCGACTGATCGAACCAGCCATCCGGGCACTCGGGCAGGCAGTTGGCCGGCTCCGGGTCGCCGGCTGGCGGAGGCGAGAGGCTGCCCGAGCTGCCGGAGACGCTGGAGCTGCCGGAGCCCGGCGACGGCGGCCCAACGACCAAGCCCTCGCGGCAGCCCGGCACACAGACGACAGTCTCCTCGCCGGGGGCCTGCCCCTCGATGTAGCCATCGGAGCAGCCGGGGATGCAAGTGGTAGCATCGGAAAGGGGGTCCACCTCGACGATGAAGCCCAGCTTGCAGCGCGAGCAGACGTCCGGGTCGGCGGCACAGTCGGCGCACTGGTCCGCGCTGCAGGGCACACACCGATACGCGGCCGGGTCCGTGTGGAAGCCCACCGCCGGGCAGGGGACCCCCACCGGGAGGCAGGCATCCTGGTGCAGCAGCCGGTCATCCATGCAGCGCGAGCACTCGGCCAGGGTAGGGCCGGTGCATGTGGCGCAGTCCGCCGCGCAGGCCCGACACTGCCAGGTGTCGGCGTCGCCAAAGAAGCCCACCGGGCAGACAGCCACACAGAACACGGAGTCCTGGACAAAGAAGCCGGCCGGGCAGGAGGTGCACTGATCGGCCGCCGGGCCGGAGCACGTGGCACAGGACTCGTGGCAGGCGGCGCAGCGCGGCGCGGCGTCGGGCGCCTCCGGCTGCAGGACATACTCGTCGGCGGCGCAGGCATCGGCACAGGTGGCCGGCGAGGCGGAGGACAGGATCTTGCCCTCGGGGCAGGTGAGACAGGCCCCGGTGGCCGGGTCACAAGTGAGGCAGCCCTCGCAGGAGAAGACACACTGGCCGGCGAGATCGACGCGACCCGGCGAGCAGGCCGCCACGCAGGTGCCATTCTCCACGAGGGGGGCGCCCTCCGGGCAGGCGGTCACACAGCCGACGGCCGGGTCCAGGAGGGTGGTGGGATGGCAGCGGGTGCATTCGGAGGGGCTGCCGCCGGTGCACTCGACGCAGCCGGGCGGGCATGCGTTGCAGATGAACCGGCTGCAGAAGCCGACCGTGCGGATGTAGTAGGTCCGCGCCGGGCACTCGACCAGGCACTTGTGGGACCACAGGCGCTGGAAGATGTCATTGTCCGGGTCGCAGGTTTTGCACTGGTCCGGCCCGGGGCCATTGCAATCGGCACACTCCTCATGGCAGGGGATGCAGTCCATGGCCATTTCAAAGTGGCGACCCGGGCACCGGGGCCCGCAGAAGCCCCCCTCAAAGCGGAAGTGGCCCTTGGCGCAGGTGGTGCACTGGCCATTGTCGGGGCCGGTGCAGGTGAGGCAGCCCGGGGCGCAGGGCTGGCACTCGCCGATGGCCGGCTCGAAGTACCCGTTGGCCGGGCAGCGGGCCAGGTCGCCACTGGCGCAGGCCCCATCGGCGGTGATCCACCGACCGGCCGGGCAGGAGAGGCAAATGGTCGGGTCATCCGGGCTGCATGTGGCGCAGGGGCCGGAGCAGGGCCGGCAGGCGTCGGTCGCCGCATGGAGGAAAGACCCGGCGGGGCAGGGGTCGCTGGTGGGGATGCACTCGGCGGCGGTCGGGGTCAGGCGGAAGTCCTCGGCGCAGGTGGCACAGGTGTCGGCATGGCCCGGCAGGCAGGCAGCACAGTTGGCCACATCGCACGCCGGGGCCGGGTCTTGGCCGAGGTCCGGGGCCTGGCAGCGGCCCTTCGGCCCGGGGGGCTGGAGCTCGGCACCCGAGAGGCAGGCGGTGCAGTCGGTGGCCTGGGGCCCGGTGCAGGCGGTGCACAGGGTGTCACAGGCCACGCAGAAGGTGGCCCCGCCGAGGGGCACCGCCTCGGAGTCGGGGAAGTACCCGGGGGGGCAGGCCTCCAGGCACCGGCCGCCCAGGAGGACATGGTCCCCCGGGCAGGCGGTGCACTCGTCGAGCAGGGGCCCGGAGCATTCGAGGCACTGGCTGTGGCAGGGCTCGCAGCGGGCGGTGTCGCGGCTGGCAAAGCGGCCGGTTTGGCACTGGATGCACACGGCCCCGGGCTGGGCCGTGTCGCACTTGGAGCAGCCGCTGTCGGCGCAGGGCCGGCACTCGGTGCCCTGGGGGCCGGACGCATCCGGGCCATAGCCGGGCGAGCAGCCGCCGCCACACCGGCCGGTGACCGGGTCAAGGATGTTGCCCTGGTCGCATGCGAGGCAGTCATCGGAGAAGGGGCCGGTGCAGCCCTGGCAGGAGGGGTCGCACTTTTGGCAGGTGTTGGTGTCGTCGAGGAAGTGGTTCGGCGAGCACACCTCGCACTGGTCGGGGAATGGCCCGAAGCACTGGTCGCACTCCGGGGCACAGTCGACGCAGGCCAGCCCGTCGGAGGTGGGCCGCGTGTCCGGCGGGCAGGCCGCCGGCGCCGAGTCCGAGGACGAGAGGACCGAGGACAAGGCTGACGTCGGCCGCCGGGCCGAAGCGGCCAGGAGCGCCGGGGGCTGGCTGGCGGCTGGGGGGGCCAGCGCGGCCAGCGCAGCCACCGCCAGCAGGAGGAGCAGGCCGAGCGAGCGCCGCATGCCGAGGGGGGGGGGGATGGCGGGGGAGGAGGGTAGCGGGCGAGAGGAGAGGGGGGAGGCGAGAGGCCCATGTGCACGCGGCGCCGGGGGCCGGGCCGGGCGCGCGGGACCGGCACAAGAGAGCCCGGGATCTGGGTCTTCTTGCGGCGGGGGCGGCGTGAATCCCGGCCCGCTCTCTTGCTTCCCCGGGCGTGTGTCTCCCGCTCCAGGGCCGGGCCGCGCGGCCGGTGGGTGTGTGCTGCGTTGAGAGGGCAGGGCCGGGGGGGCTGGGCCGGTTGCCGTTCCTAGCCGGCCGGCGGCCACGCGTACGCATTCGACCCCTTGTGCGTGCGTGCGTGCGTGCGTGCGTGCGTGCGCCCGTCCGTCCGGAGGGGCGGCGGGAAATTCCCGGGGCCCGCGCCAATATCGGATCCGCCGGGGAACGCCATGCGGCCCCCCTTGCCCCCGGCGCCAGATTAATGCGGTAGGCGTTGGCGGGCGTTTGAGATTGGCCGGCGGAGCGGCGCCCGGGAGGG